CTTCATTAGTTGGGGGTCATTCTGAACCCACATATGTTATCCTCTTTGTACAGTATACCTGGATTTTTTTTTCAAAGCTTCATCTGTTCCTGGATGCACATTCTTATTCTGTGGAACACATATTCCATTGGGACTTGGACTTGCTGGTACTTCTTGATGACTGAGCTTCACTGTTTTTTATTTTAATTTTTTCTCTCTGGTGGTCCATTTCTTCCTTCTCTGTGGTTGGCCCAGACACTCTCCCTTTCTTGATTATGGTTGAGCCTCTCAAGCTCAGTGGTGGTGCTCATTGCTTCAGGGCAAGCTGAGGAGTTTATCCTGAAACTGGGATCAGAGGGATCTCATTCCAGGGCATGCAGCTCTTTGCAGATACAAGATACAGTGAGGCACTACATGGGACCCCAAGGATGTGGAGAAGGGAGAGTTCCAAGTTCATACCCGCATGATCCACCTATGCCCTGTGGAATCTCCCACTTTATGCTTCCCCTGCATCTGAAAGAATTGTTTGTCATCCCCTAAGGCTTAGGCCCCTGAACCCTATTTGGCACAGCCACCCTCAGTTTTTCCCCAATCCCCTTTCTAGCCTCACTACTTAGATACTGTTTTTCTCACCCATGGTCTAGGGAAACAGAAGTTCCTGAAGCCTCCATCATTTAATTTTATCCCCAGGAACGTGATAAGATCATGTCCCCTTCTAGAAGCATGGCGGAAATTTGTAGCATCTCTGCCCATCTCTAGAGTCTGTGTAGGGGCTTTTCCTCCTGACCGCTCCCCTAAGGACAGAACCTGTATCCTGAGTATCTGAGTTAAATTTGCCCTCAGTGAGTGTCCCCTTTGGGGTTGTTGGTGAGACTCAAAGGTCTTTTTACACCAAGATGGCACTCTGGTCATCTCTGGCTGGAGGAGGATGAAGGCAGCACTCGAGGAAACCTAGGGACCAGGTTGGGCATCCTCAAAACTCTATGGATGCCTTGTGTCTTCCGGTAGTCAAGGAAAAAAAAATATATGTATATATATATACATATAT